AGTATTTTCACCGCCCTAAGTGTCTTCTGGGCTCTGTCTGTTCATCCCTCTTTCCTCCTTACCCCCTAGCAACCACTGATCTCTTTACTGTCATCGTAGTTTTGCCTTTTCCAGAATGTCACATGGCTAAAATCATACTGTATGTAGCCTTTTCAGATTGACTTCTTTCACTTAGCGATATGCATTTAAGTTTCCTTCGTGTTTTTTCATGGCTTGATAGCTCATTTCTTTTCAGTGCGAAATAATATTCTATTGTCTGGATGGACCATAGTTTATCCATTCACCTACTGAGGGATATCTTGCTTCCAGGTTTTGGTGATTGTGTGTTCATAATCTGCTAATAAACATTAAGCTGCTGTAAACATTAATGTGCAGGGTTTTGTGTGGACGTAAATCTTCAGCTTTTTTTGGTAAATACCAAGGAGCACTATTGCTGAATTGTATAGTTAAGGTCTCAGAAAGAAACCGTCAAACTGTCTTCCAAAGTGGCTGTGCCATTTTGCATCTCCACCAGCAATGAATCAGAGTTCCTATTGTTCCACGTTCTCATCAGCATTTGGTGTTACCAGTGTTCTGGATTTTGACCGTTCTGTTAGGTATGTAATGGTATCTCACTCTTGTTGTAATTTGAATTTCCCTGATGACATCACAGGGAACATCTTTTCATATGCTTATTTGCCGTCTATATATCTTCTTTTGTGAGGCATCTGTTAAGGTCTTTGGCCCACGTTTTAATCAGGTTTTTTGTTTTCTAATTGGTGAGTTTTAAGAGTCACTGGTATATTTTGGATAATCGTCTTTTATCAGATATGTCTTTTGCAAAGATTTTTCTCTGTCTTTCTTTGTCTTCTCGTTCTTAATATTATGTTTTGCAGAGCAGAAGTTTTTAATTTTAATGAAGTCCAGCTTATCAGTTGTTACCATTTATGTATAATATAATGTTTTATATAATCAATGGTTACTTCTGGTTTTCCAACATTTGTGCTGATTTCTTTGCTCCCCATTGCTCCTTGCATTGCACTCCTTTCTGGATTCTCTTCTTCTTAAGAACTATTTTCTTCCTTGACTATTTCTTCACTTAGGATCCCTGGGGGTAAAATCTCTTAGTCTCATCTAAAAATATCTTTATTTCTCTCTGGCTGTTTAAAAGAAAACTTGAGTTGCATTTAAATGTCTAGTTGACAGAAATTTTTATTTCCTTTGGCGCTTTGACAATATTATTCCATTTGGAATATTATTCCATCAGACTGAAGAATTGTGTTACGTGTTGTATTCTCTGTAAGCATTATAAAATGTACACGACAGCAGCTTCATTTCAGTTTTCTGTCTTTCTCTCTGGTTGCTGATACATTTTTTTCATTTGTCTTTAGTGTTGCTGTGTTTCAGTGTGATGTGGTTTTGTGTGTGTGCGTGTGTTTATTGTTCTGCTTAAGACTTGCAGAGCTTTTTTAAACTGAATACTCATTTTATTATTATTATTAGTTATTTCTGGAAAGTTTTTTTTTTAGCAATTTTCTCTTAAAATTTACCTCTCCCTCATATTCTTTATTTTCTTCTGCAACAGTTATGGGATGTATATTCCACATTTGTTATTTATCTGCCATGTGTCTTAAACTTTTCTTGATGTCATCCACCCTTTATCTCTCTGTGATCTATTCTCTAGTTCATTGATTAGTCATTGAGCTGATTCTAACCTATTTAACTTGTCTGTTAAGTTTAATTGAAATGACTATAGTTTTTATTTTTTAGTTGTCTTATTGGGTTCCTTTTAATCCGGCTGCCTTTTCTGTTGTTCATGTGGTTCTTTTCTTAAGGTTTTAATTTCTTTTCTTTATGTCTTTAATCAGGTTAGGCATATTTTATATTATATTTTAAATTGTAAGTCTATTCTAGAAAGGCCATGTTTCTCCCTCTGTGTGTGTTCAGTGACTCCCATTCGTGGTGTACAGTTTTCTCCTAGGCTTTGTAGTGTTTTAGCATCAATCCCTCTCTACTGGGGTGCGTTTTTTCTTGAGGATTCCTAGGGTCCTGGATCGTGGGAGAGCCCTGCAGAGTAGTTTTGTGTTTGTTTCTGGAAGACCCCTTTGCAATAACGTTAGCCTGGAACCGATTTTCACAGTAGTGTCTGGGTGGGGGTTTTCCTAGCCCACAGAAAGTAGAAATTCAGAATTCCAGCCTGTTCAAGGTGTAAGCCCAAGGCGTTTACTTTTCAAGCATTTTTTTTCTTGAGAGACCAGGCAGAAACATGCGATCATCCTTTTTGTCTCTCTGTGCAGCTGGATGGATTTTTTTCCAGGCCGCCCTTCCACATAGGGACGGAATTTCCTGACCGGCATTTGTAGAATTTCTCCTGCTGCTTCGTGTGTCCCAAGGCCTCGTCTTTGCTCCATGTGGACAGGGACACCCAGACCCTGTTCGTGGGACTCTAGGCGGCCTCTGAACTGGTTTTGGTGTTTAGCCCTGGTTTACAGCTTCCTCATCGTTAACGGTTCCCTTTCTTTATTGCAAGCTCGGATGTGTATTTAAAACCTTTTTTGTTTGTTTATTTCATCCATCGTTTCTAGGCGGTTGCGGAGGGAGATTTTCGTTTTATCTTAATCTTTAATCTTGCTGGAAACAGACATATCTCCGGTAGAAATTTAAATCTGCAAAACGGTCATGCTTAAGTGTCATCTTCAGTCATTCGCCAGGTCCCCTGTGCTCCAGGTGCTGCCAGGCAGCAAGCCACTCTTCAGTATCACTTCCTGGAGCTTCACGAACTTACATCTTTTTCAAGGCATCTGACTTGACGTTTCTACAAATTTGACAATAATATGAAAATATAAACAAATGTTCGCGATCTCCAAGCCTGACATAAGAGGTGGCTGGGTTAGGACTTCTGTTAAGCTGTTAGGCAGGGAGGGAATTTTTGAGTGGGGACTAATTTTATAAGTGCTGAGTTCCCCCATTTGTGAATATTTGTGGGTTATGAGCGTGTTTCCTTTCCTGTTCTACCTTGCAGAACTCGAAGAGGGCAGGCCTTGATGAAGAGGACGCTAGGAGTTGTGATGTGCATCCGACATGTTCGGAACCATGTGCTGGGCGCTCACCATTGCGGGAGGGGGAGTCCCCTGTCAGCCCTTTCACAGCCCAGGCTCATTTGGTGAGCAGCAGGCCGTTAGATGTCCAGCTTGAGCTCAGCCTGTCCTATAAAGGACAAATCCATGGGAAAAGCCCAAATCTGTTGGTCCACGTTTCTCACAGGGTGGATCTTGATCTCTCTACATCAGGATTCCCTGGGGTGCTAGAAAAAAATACAGAGGCTTATGCTCTGCCCCTGATTTGCCAAAATCAACTCTCTTGGGACGGGGCCGGGGAGTCTGTCTTTTAAACTTCTTCGGTGATTCTCAGTCATATTGCAGTGTGAGAATATTTGTCCCGGGTGCCGCACTGAGGTGGTGATGGTGAAGCCAGCGCAGTCCTAGGAATCTTTTGGGCAAACAGAATTTCACTGGCGATGGAAAGGCTACGAACAGCGAGAACTGAGATCTTAGGTTGCTTTGTGCTTGAGTGTGGCACTGGGGAGAGAGATTTAGCTCAGTGGTTTATCAAAAACCCCATCTTTGGAGGCGATTTTTTTTGAGGGGAAGTGGATGGTTTAAAGCCACTTGGTGACGTGAAAAGAAACGGAAGGAAGAGGATAGGAGAAAACCTAACTGAACATGAACTTCTTGGGGTTTGTGCTAAAACGTTGCCTGGATTTCAATTAGGCAGAGCACCTTCTTCTCCATCCCCAATTGGTCAGGTTGCCATGGCAACAGGCACACTGCTGTCTGTAGCTGCCCCACCCCCACCTGCCTCTGGCAGAGGCCGTCCTACAAGTTCCGCTAAGCCTAGACCAGACTTCTCTGCAGTCTCGAGGCTCCAGTGGCATAATGTAGGACAGATTTGGGTGGGGAGGTGAGAACTTGCCACTTCAGGTGGTTTCACGCTACACTCTAGTAACTTCCAGAAAATGTGCTAGGCGGCTCCGTCTGGGTTGGATGTTCTGTTCCTGCTCACTGGATTCAGGAACCGTATGCGCTAAGGCATCACAGGTTATCCTATGGGCAGAGCACACCTCTGTGCCACCTCCCCTTAGCACTCACTCACCCAGTGTCTCTCCATGGGTTCCCCTTGTGTCCTCTCAGAACAGGGTCTCTCAGAGTGGGTTCCATGGGCTTTCTCCACTGGCGCTCATTCCCATGCTCCTGGTTTGGTAAAGGGAGGAGATGATGCAATCTGTCTTCCTAAGAGAGATTACAACAGGAGGAACATGTCCTGGGCATGAGGTGGTGTATTCCATTTGGTGCAAGGTGAATAAATGATGGTACGACTCCCAAGTGAAGAGCCCAGTAGATGGTTGGCCAGAGGTCTGAGCTGGACATACGAGCTTGGGAATCTGTTCTCAATCGGTTTTCCTGGATCTTTCTTTCTCCCCTAAATTGTGTTACCTAGAGTGCCTGTCATACCTGCGGACCCTTGAGCCCTGCCCAGGTCGACCATGAGCTCTAAGCATCAGCACTTTAAAAAAATTTTAAATATGATTTTTATAAAAGTTATTTAGGTGATGTTTCTTTTTAAAATTTTATTATGGTAAGAATACTTAACATGAGATCCACCCTCTTAACAAATTTTTTTTAACTTTTTATTAAGATTATGATAGCTTACAACCTTGCGAAATTTTGGCTGTACGTTGTTGTCAGTCGTGTTGTAGGCGCACCACTTCACCCTTTGTGCCCTCCCCCCACTCCCCCTTTCCCCTGGTAACCACCGATCAGTTCTCTTTGTCTCTGTGTTTAACTTCCACCTATGAGTGGAGTCATACAGAGTTTGTCTTTCTCTATCTGGCTCTCTTAACAAATTTTTACATGTACAATACAGTACTGTTGACTGCAGGTCCAATGTGTACAGCAGCTCTCTAGAGCTTATCTTTCAGCTCTGCTGAAATTTTATGCCCATTGTTTAGAACTCCCTATTTCAAAAATACGTAATGCTTCACCAATTTGGGTGTCATCCTTGCACAGGGGCCAGGCCAGTCTTCTCTCTGTCTTTCCAATTTTAGTATCTGTGCTGCCCAAGTGAGCGTGAGAATCTGCACTTCACTCAAGCTCCCCAGGTGGGGAGTTTTGTTGTTATTTGTTTGTTCATGCATGCTCAAGTTTGAGAACCACTGTGAAAGACTCTAAACATGGCCTGGGCCCAGTTTGGGTCTTGCGCCACCAGCTGCTCACAGACTGCTCCCCACACACACATGTGGCCTCGGCCCCCCACCTCTCTCTGTGTAGTAAGAGCTGCAATGTCCTGAGGATAACTGATCCTTCGTCCTCCAGCCCTGTGGTCCTTTTTCACGGTGCTGGTCGGTGATAATCTGAACATCTTGGGGAGAGTCTGTCTTTCCGGAGCCTTCATTTTCACAGGACATTTCTGCTTTTAGCCAAAGCTGAAAGGAGACAGGGCCCTCTGCAGCCATGTCTCTCCCCTTCTCTGAAGCTCTGCTGGATGGCATTTGTTTTCCGCTAGGAACCAAGCCATCCTTCCCCTGTCCCTGTGGTCGCTGTCTCAGGAGGGACTGTATGAGAAAGTGTGTTCCCAGCCTGGCGGACGATTCTGCCCTGCCCCAGTAAATCTTCTCCACCAGGCGGGGCCCGCCCTTGAACACGAGGGAGGCCTCCTTAGTCCCCACACCGATTTCCCTGATAAGTCCCCCTCCATTTGGTTTCTCATTTCTCTTATTCCTGTTATGCCAGATCCAATCTCTTTCTTTGCTCTGTTAGCTCCAAGCAACCTCAGGTCAGCACAGCCAACTTTGCCCATCAGCCTCCCTTCTGACCCGACACTTCCGCCTCGGGAAGCCGGGGGCTCCAGAATTCAGCCTCCCCACCTGGGACCCACGGGGAGCCCTCTCCAAGTCAGTCGGGCGTCTCGGCAGAGTGCCCACTGGATTCCTTACACAAACACAGCCACCCTGTGAAGATGTGGTGGCTCCCAAGCCTCAGACAGAAATGGTAGAGAAACAGATGAGATTCTCTTGCTGGGAGCTGCGTTCTGATGGGTTGATTGGTTTCCAGAGCAGGATTTGCCTCCTGACTGTTTCCCTCCTCACCTGTCTTTATGGTCAAATCCAGGGAGTAAAGAGTGGTGCGTATTCTTCCTGGCGATTAGCTGTCTGATGCTATTTCGTCAAACCATTATGTTTCCCTTTCCAAGGTGAATTTCTAAAAATTGTATCTATATACAATTTTTAAAAATATTAAAGCTGGGGCTGGCCCCATGGCTGAGTGGTTAAGTTCACTCGCTCCACTTCAGCGGCCCAGGGTTTCGCCAGTTCAGTTCCTGGGCGTGGACATGCCACTGCTCATCTGGCCATGCTGAGGTGGCGTCCCACATAGCACAGCCAGAAGGACCCACAACTACAATATACAACTATATACTGAGGGGCTTTGGGAAGAAGAAGAAGAAGAAAAAAAATTAAACCTGAGGAAATATAATGGCTTAATGAAATAGCGTTAGATATATTCTATATATAATATATAGATCATGTATGTATTTATGTATGTGAGTGTGTACATATATCCTCTATCTATCTATCTATCTATCTATCTGTCTATCAATCAGCAGTTTTCTCTGGATGATAAGCACACTTTAGGGATGCTTATGACCTGCTTTATTCCCATCTCCCTGGTTGTAACATTCTTTTAGGAAATGCCAACTGGTGTTAATATTAGCCTAAGTAAACTACATTTACATGAGGAAATCTACTATTGAAAAAAAGTGAACAAAAGGACAGAAAAAAACTAGGAAGTTACTTTGTGTTCCACAGCCAAATAGACGCTCTTAGAGGGCACCGGTCAGCTCCTTTTATTGATGGGAAGTCTCTATTATCTTTAGCAGCAAGCGATCCTTTCCGAAAGTTGAAAATGTCAGCATGCTGGTGGAATTTTGAAAAGCCCCGGCACGCTTCTACTCTGCCGACATGGGGCGTGGGGATTTGATGGTGCTTGAAGATTCCGCACCAGATCCTATCACAATGCAATTTTTTTCTCCTCCGCTGCGGACCTCCTGCTCTTTTGGATTTAAGTCAAGGACAGATTAGCATCCCTGCACACCTTTAGCCTTTCTTTCATGCTTTTATAAATGTAATACAAGTTCATTGTGGGAACTGCCACAGCGTGGTGTGTGTTGCCCTTGCTATGTGCCAGCCAAGGCGGTCCACGCCTGCGCTCATCTACTCCACGGCAGTCTGTGGTAATAATAGCATCCCCGTTTAGGGGTAATACCATCATCCCCATATGGCAAATGTGGCAACTGAGGCATAGGGGGCATCAAGTGGCATCTCCAAAGCTGCATCACCAGGAAATGGCGGGGCTGGGAGAGCAACCTGGGTGGGTGGGGGACCACCGCTTTAGAGTGAGCGTCCGCAGGGTCTCGTTCTCCAGAACCAGCCTTCCCTGCTCCTTTCTACGCAGCGACACGGTGGGTCCTCTGTGTCATTACCTTGGAGAAAAAGGGAAAGAGAGAAGCCTGAAGAGGTAAGAAAAGCGGAAAGTGCCAGAGAGCCTGCCAGCCAAGGACTTTCCCTTTGTCGCCCTGGTTCGTGCCTGCTGGAGGACTGGACACCTTCAGCCAGCACACCAGCAACTTAGGCTGTGTCCACCTGTGCCCCTGCCTGCCCACACCCACCACCCGTCCTTTGCCTTGATTGACAGTCCCCAGAAGAGGATTGGGAGAAACTGCCAGACCGCCTCTAATCAAATAAATTGATCATGGTCTGCATGTGGGCGCAAGTGCATATTCTCTCTGTCTCTTTCTTTCAAACATACACACACACACACACACAGAATGCATTTGCTGACATGGTGAGTGACGGGAAACTTCTGGGACTCTCAGCCGGTGTAGCTTTCTTCTGTGTTAATCCTGGCAAGGGCCACAGACGGCTTCCGTGTCTGAATCACATTTGCTGATCTAGTGAATGGGGGGAGGGTGGCAAACTAGCAACGTAGTGCAAGACTCGCCAGGAATTTCCACCATCCTGCCGCTCTAGTTGTGCCCGCAGGTTTTTCTTTCCTCAGTCCGCTCCCCACCCGTGGCAGAAGTTTGCCATCATATGATGTGATGTGACTTGGGTTCATTTTCATGGAGAACACCCAGTTGGGAGAGTGGTTTTTCTTTGTTAGTTGGGACCCCATTCTTGTAGAAGTCGTCTTTTTCCTAACAGCATGGGTGGCTATGCTGAAATTTACCTTTGCCCTCTGTTGGAAATGTTTCTTGTACAGATTAATAGCGCGAAAATATTGGCGGGGAAATATTTAGCTAATTAAGAAAAACTTCTGGAGACAAGTATTTAGCTGCATTTAATAATGTGTAAATTATTTGCCTCTCAATGATATGCTAATTGCTCCTTACTTATAAGCCCATGCTGCTTGGAAATGAGCCCACCTAACTATGAATGCCCATCAAGGCTTCACCTTTCTAGCTTGTAGGTTATGCTAACAGAGAGGTTCTTTTCAACCAAAAGCATACAAGTGCTTCTGCTCATTGCAGATTCTCTGTGGCAGAATATCTTACATCCTCTCCGCCAGAAGAGGGACTTTCTCTGCTGATCCTTGTGGAGTGGTTTCCCATTTGCTCCCACACTTTATCTATTGGAATTCATCCTGGTTAGTAAACTCATCTGTTGAGATGCAGCTCACCCACCCGTCCCATCCCCACATGATCCCTTGTCGTTCTCTATGTGATTTTCTTGAATCTGCTCAGTATCTGGAAGCCTTTGGTCTTGGTGAGGAAGGGCTTGCCTGTGAGAAAGAAGAGGAAGGCAGAGGTGGGTCCTGTGCCCACTTGCACACGCTTCTTCTCTCATAGGTTCCTTCATCCCTAAACCTACTCTTCTCTGGATAGGATTTGGACAGGGTTGAAATGTTGGTGACCAAGGACCAGGACTGGCCAGGTCAAGAAGATTGGCTGCTTTCCTGGGCAGAGTGGTTAATCTGCCAGAACTCATGACCCGGGGACCATTGTAAAGAACTGGTGATTTGCAAGGGCAGCAAGCCTGGGGAGAAGATGGACCTGAGTCTGGGTCTGAAGGTCAAGTTCGAGTCCTCTTTGCCCTCAGATGTCTATTTTGTTCTGCAGCCTGGGGTGAAGCCTGCAGAGTTAATAGTCACTTGAAGCTAGCTAATTACTTTGTAATTGCAGGGTTCTTGCAGAGACCAGGGCTAGGCAAGGCTTGGAAAATACAAGATGGCTGAAGAGTTGAGACTGCCCTGGTGTCTGGAGGTCATGAGTGCTCCAACAAGGCTGGTCTTGGAAGGGCACCTGGCATCATGGCTGATGAAACGGGACAGTCTCAGAACCGCTGCTGGGAGAATCACTGACGTTGCATGCTCCGGTGGTTCTGGTATGCCAGTTGGTGGACCAGCTGCATGAGCCGCACCCCAGAGCCCTTTACAAATGCACATTGGCAGGCTCCTCCCCGAAAAATGCTGATCCCATGGGTCTATGGCTAGAGCTGAGGATCTGGATTTTTTAATTCCTCAGATGATTCCGATATGAGGCCAGTTTTGTGAAGCACCAATCCAGTCCCTTCAGGAGACTTCCATGACTGTGAGGCTCCTAGAGCAGGTGGATTTTCCCTGAAACCTCTTTCTGTCCCCACTTGGAGGTGAGGGGGTGCCATGTAGAGTGAGCACAGTGGACGCCAGAGTGGCAGGTGGTCAGATGCATCTTGAGGCGTCTGCGTGGTGGAAGGAAGTGTTCATGCCCCAAATGCTTCGGAGAATGAGTAGCTCGAGGGAGGCCTTTTAGTGGAGGTGGTGGCTAGGCTGGAGGGGAAGGATATTGAGGAGGTGTGGTTGGTGGAAACAGCCCAGAACTGGCAGTCAGGAGACCTGGGTTTGACCCCCCATCCTGCTGCTTTATACCTGCATCATCCTTAGCAAGATCACTCAATATTCTAGTCTGGATTTTCTTATTTTAGTCAGAACCTTTTTGGTTGCTGATGACAGGAATCAGCTCAACCAGCTGAAGCCAAAGAGATTTTATCAGCTCACTAGTGGGAGGGGTATTGAAAGCTTATGGAATCAGGGAGAG